TGCAGTTTATCTCGGCTCTCAGATGACAGAAGAAGCTCAAAACTTGTGACATATATGGCCAGGGAGTGACGCTATGGCAGCTTGAATTGGTTCGAGAGATCAAGAGGTGCCAATTCGGGCCTTCTAAATGTGAATCGCATGGGGCGCCCCCTTAAGACCTGTAAAACGTGCGCCCTTATTTTTGAACGTCTAACATCAACTGAGGGTGGTGCTTGATAATGATAAGGAAGAATTCTATGACCTCTAACGATTCCTCAATCTTTGGCATGAATCTCTATTAATAAGGTAATTCGTAAGCTCTCAGTTGGACTCAATAGGGCATTAGGTTCGATGCTTGTCTATTAGATCAAAATAGAACTTTTCGCGTTGGGTGAAACATTGAAAGCATTCCCAAGAGACGTAGTCATATACTTAGCAACTGGGCCTGTGCGATTTTAGCTTTTTCTAATTAGAGGTATAAAAGAGAGGCTGTAATGCTCAATTTCGTCGATCTGACACTCCAATTTGAGCTCTCAAATATTAGAGGAAAGAAAAAAATCGAAGAGGACTATTGTATAGGGCGAGGAATTCTCTGCAAAACAATATAGAATCAGTGGCGAAACTTTTAACCTTTAGCGAAAAATTTAGTGAGAAAAACGCCATTACTTATGGGCTGACCCATCCGGGGACTTGATTAGGGCGGCAAGGGTCGCGACGCGGCTGCAGCGCGTCACGAGCGAGGCGATCAGCTGTTTCCAGCCTAATTTGGCCATTTTCTCCCTAATTTTCTCTACATTTCCTATTTTTACAGTTGTTTTATTGTCTTTATGAGGTACATGAGGGCGTGGAGTCTTTTTTTTGTTTCTGTAATGGAGCGTTTTTGCGATTTTTTAGGGGGTTTGTTCAGCTGTCTGCCTAGCTGTTTAACTGTGCGCAAAAACCAGAGGAATCTCAGTCATAAATCATCGGTGAAGGCAAGGAACAACTAATCAGCCAACCAACTGAGCAGCCTTAATAGGGCAAATTGAGGGGAAAATGGCTAGAATAGGCTAGGAACAGCTGATCAGCGCGCTCAACACGCCGCAACCGCGTCACGACCCTTGCCGCCCTAATCAAGTCCCCGGCTTACGACTGTACGTTAACGTCAGAATAATTTTGTGTGAAATATTCTATTTTCGGCTGACAAGACCCAACGAGTGTCCATTATGTGCGTCGAATACATAGCACATCTCAGCAGAACTGATCAACTCTAATTTCATCCCATTAAGTTGGACATTTTTCTTACTTAATGCATTTATCGACGTATCCACTGAGAAATCGATCGATGGGATGACGAATCACAGTGAAAAGCGTTAGGTTGGTACCGTACGCTTTTCCGACGCTGTCTATGCTGTCGTAGACAAAAGTATCATCACATAACCTGTAACAAATTTCTTTATGAGGAAGGTGTTGTCACTCGCAGTCCACACTAATTGTATAGGCGGGGCAAGTCACTCTTTGTGCTTGACTCGTTAGTGTTCCGTGCGGTCCTAAAAGGTAGGGGAGGTGTCGTGACTTCCGTACGACTCTTTTTAAAGGGTCGCGTTTATGGTTGGGCGCGGCGGTCCTGGCACGCTTAGCGGTACGGTCGAATGTTCGCGAAGCCGCTAGGGATGCAGAGTCGGCGTAGACTCTGGTCTGTCTGTCACTTCTACGTCCTGCAGCCGTACCGACTCCACTTCGCTCTCCGTTCCAGCGTCAACGTATTGTCCATCTCAGCTGGTCGCAGTCAATATCGTCAACGAGCCGTACCACGCAGAGGAGCCGCACTACTACTGGCCGTCGACTATCCCAGGTAACCACTAGGTGCTTAGGTGCATCCGAACCTTCCGGGCAGCCGGAGGGGAGGATGTTCCCGATGCCCTAGTGGGCTGTTTCCTCGTGGCCCGTAGGCAGTGAGGCAGGGTTCGTCCGTGTAGCGTAGGGCCTTACCATTAATCTTTGTAGTTTTATGTATTAGAGAGGTAAATCGATTTGATAGTTTGCGTATTGTTATGTAGCAATAGTGGTTAAGCCACAACATTCCTCGAACATTCATTTGCAACAGTTTTATTACAGTTCTCTGCTTAGCTGTTAATATGTCGGCTGTTGGTTTTAAGCCTCCGCGGCTAGGTGAGCAGGTATCCTCAGGTAGGGCGTGTAGGTAGGGCATAGGTAAGTGGGTCAACATCTGGTGCATGATCGTGACGGCGTCCAACGCAGGGGCAGTAAGGGCCTACCGGTAGCGGATAGCAAAATTAGCATACCGCGTGGCAGCACCGTAGCGAGCATGGGCAAGCGCTTGTAAGTCCCCTGCACGTACCCGCGCCGGGCGCGGATCCATCCCCTCTGGACCCCGATGCTAGGACAGAAGGTGCCGATGACCTGGTGAAGAGCCAGGCCGAGGGGGAAAGGAAGCCGCCTCCGGCACGACAGGAGGCTTGAAGGTACCAATGGCAGCGATTGCCTGTCTCTTCCTGTACGATTAGGGCGGACTGTGCTTTCGAATCAATTTGAATTCTCAATAATAAATTATCTATGTGTTGTTTCGATTCTTCTGTATGGAATAAAATATACCTATTGTCCCAGAATTCTGTACTGATCGATCGATTCTGTGCAATAAATTCTGTGGTGTTGGTCAGATAACAAAAAACTGCTCGCCTAATTGTAATCATATTCTTCTCGATTTCGCATCCTACCAGTCTATAATCTGGTAACACCTAGAAAAGGGTCAAATTGTTCAAAATTTTTATTTTTTTTTCTGAATTTTTCGAATGTTCGAGTGATAGTCCAGGCGTTCCGGCGAGCTAGGTAAATTGGACCTCCGAAGGCAGAGCCCATAATCGTCCATAATTATTCAAGCTCTTTGTAAGGAGAAGTGGAGTGGACTGCATGGAACAACCCTGTGAAGTTTCACATCAGAAAGTGGTGAGGTAGCAGCGGTAGGAAACAAGGTTGCTCAAAGATACATGGTACGATAACACATAGATTGGGTGTGCGTGACTATCAGCCCGCCAGCTCTCAAAGCGCCGCGCGCGACACGCGCCGCGTGGAACGGCCGTTAGCATGAACGGGAGTCTGCGCCGCAAAAAGGTATTGGGCGGAGCATGGAGGAATTAGCGTGTTTCACGGTCCTGTATCTCCATTCCTGCGCATGTTAGGACGGGGAAACCGCTACGCTTCGACAGCTGGGGGGGGGGCTGATAGTCACATCCAAACTACGTGTGTCACACCATGTGTCTTTGAGGGCTCTCTTTGATAGATGTCTCCTGCTGTCTTGCTCGTACTCTGTTGTTTCTTTCTCTGGGCTCCCGCCCGATATCCACAGCAATTCTTTATCACTTGCTCTGCACTAGTAGGCACTTATTTTCAGCACCCTCAACGGTTTCCTCGTGAGTCAACTAGCACATACACATCTGTCTCTGACCTCGCTATCAATGTCTCTTTTCGTACTCTCATAGCGAATTCCGCGTTCGAGCTCTTTTGGCAGCGTTCAGACTTCGCGACGGCAGCGCTTTGGTCGCCGGAGCGCTGCAGCCGCGAAGTCTGAAAGCTGCCTTTGCGTTTCCATTGAACAAAAATGGCGTGGCGTATCCCCGAAAAAAAAACATCTTAGCAACACAAAACGAAAATGTTTAGCTATTGCTGAAAATGAAGAGCTTACGCATTTTTCACTCACTAGGAAATGATTCTCTATATTGTGATAGGCTGGAATAATGTCAGACATAGCTCTGGGAACTCTTTGCAGATGCTCCTCGATTTCCTTGAAGTACGGCACTACCTCGAGATCTGAAAAACGTTCAACTCCTGTCAAAGGGCATGCTCATACTCGGGGCATATCATTCGTCGGGGATTTTATTCGAGTCCATACGACCCCCCGGCCCTCTGTCCCTCGCTGTCGAGTGGGGGGATATATACAGTCCTCATCACTGCGGACCGGTGGGGCGTGTCAGCCAGTATGGTGTGCACACTGTTGAAGCCGTTCTCAGCCTTTTTGTTGAAACGCGTATGCGACAAAAAGTGGTAGAAAACGAGTAATACGAAGGATATAATACAGTAATGTCACTTGCCCGCTTCAACAACTGGTGCAGAACGACTTTGGCACCGCGCCAAACGCAGCCGCACTGACACGCCCCACCGGTCCGCAATGATGAGGACTGTATAGTTCCCAGCCCTCCTCCTTTTATAACAACCGTGAAGGAAGAAAAATCAACTATCAGAACAAATTTTTTTAGCCAAAATACGCTATCCCTCTCCCGGCGACCAGATACGCTCCCCCCCTGTTGGGCATTTTACGACGTGCCATGATCGGGCTGCCATTGAGGTGATTCTGAACAACAAACATCTTTTACTTCTTTTTCTATTACCAGTATTTTCGTTTTATCTCGAAACGATCAAGGATGGCGCAGTCTGCGAATCCTGAATGATCTTTACGATTAGAGCGCCCTACAGCGCTCAGGACACCTGATAGGTTGTAGGACCACGCGAAAGGTTCCCATTTTATTGCTGGAGGGAGAGAGGGGGTTATTTATGTTTACAGAAGTGTTTTCGCCTCTTAGCTTTTCTTGGTTTTCCCTGTTTTATTGGCTCTCGACAGCAGTTTTTTTTGCGCCAGTCTCGGGAACGCGCTTGGAAAAGATGAGAAGAGCTTGAAGATTTTCCGACAACTGGAAGCTGTTGGTACAGCGGAGAGGTGAAGTTGGTCGTAGGTAGAAAGAAAGAAACACCGAGGGAAGTGGTCTGATCTCGTATTCTACAAAATTAGTCTCTAACAGCAGACGTGCCGTGATGGCGCTCCTCCCCACTGCTCCACGTAGCTTTACTGGAAAACCCACTAACCTCAAGGTCAGCAGCGGAAAAGCTGAAGCTATAACATTTCGCCATTTGTCACTTACATCTAGCTGCGCCTCTTAATTCAGAACTCGCGATAAGTCAGGAGAAGTTTTACCGAGGGAAACTCGACCACGAGTGCTTTTCTACTGGTCAAGTTGTGGCGTTGTCCGGCTTCAAATGG